CCTTCTCTTTGATCTCTGCCCTGTGTATACAGCCAGTCAGGACAGCATTAGATGGGACCTCTACCATAGAAGGAAATGTCTATACGTTGTTTTCTGCTGCTACTCAGAAATCCCCAGTCTCATCTCTGCTTACGATCTGCTTCCCCTGCAGCTGATGGGGGCTTTATTTGACAGAAAGAATTAAGGTGCTCTGTCATCTACCTTACTACAAGTAGAGCTTCTTAGCTTTCTTATTATCCTCTCTCTCCTTTCTAGTCGGGGACAGGACCCCAAGCACTCCCTGCAGCCCAAGACTCGCAGAGCTGCATCCTCCATCAGAAACTCTGTCTGCCTCAAAGCCTTCCCCATGCCTGGGGCAGCTGGGGGCACTGTGGAAAGTGGTCTGTGGCGCATCACAACCATAGCTGGGGATGTGGATGCTGCTCTGATCTAAGGAAGCTGTTTTGCATCATTCTGCAGCAGCAGCTTCAGATCTCTCAGCATAGGTTCATCCTTGGCTCTTGTGTCTGCTCCTTCCCAGGTGAAGACGGAGGCCAGCTGGCCCACAGCAGACGGAGCTCTCTGAATCTCTCACGCTTTACCTGCCACATCTCTGGAAAGCCCATCACGGACTCGATCTATACTTGGAAATGCAGCCTGAAGACTCTCCCTCTTTTTTTTTTTTTTACTTTTATATCCATGTACATATATGCATATACCTGTGTACACTCGCAGCCAGCATGGATTTTCAGTGGTAGATCTCAAGTAAGAGGATCTAGAGGATACTCGGACAGAAAAATGGCCCAATCCTCCTCAGTGTTTAAGGGCTGCAGAGAACCCCGAAGCGCTTTCCCACTGGGACAGCATGACATGGCTGGTGGTGCCAAGCTCCTGCCCTGTGGGGGACCTTCCATCAACCATGTCCTTGCATCTCTGCCTTCTCCTCTCCCTTCTAGTCTCCAGCTCCAGTGGGCCCCTGCCTCTCCTTTACCCTGCACATCTCCATTTCCCTGTACCCATGCCCTGCAGTTCCTCCCAAAGGCACCACGTTAAGAGTGCCTGGGGAAGGATGGGGTGAGGGCAGCTCAACACCCTGGGAGGTTCAGAGGGTGACAACTATCCACCAGTGGTGGCAGTAGTTGTGATCATGACACGGTGGCACCTCTTGCTCCAGGAAGGTGTCAGGGCCTACAAATGGAAAGGTCCCCATAAAAGCTCTGCTTCCTTTCCAAGAAGTATGCGTACACAGAGCAGAGTCTCCCCATTCTCCTGTCATGCAAGGTGGAGTCCGTACTGATATGTGGGGGCTGAGGTGCGTACCCCCTTCAGCCTCACTGCAGCACTAAGCACGGTGCCTCCCCTGCCTGGCGTGAGCCCATTGGGCTGTGACAGGAGGTGACCAGGTGGCCATTGCTGGCAGAAAGAGGCCTGGAGAAAGGGTGACAGGGAGGAGCGAGCAGAGGAAGAGGATGCCTGGAGAGAGTCCACGGGTCAGACATGTCAGAGGTATCCCAAGCAAGAGGGGCCAAGCTCAGGGGTCTTGTGTGGGAACAGCAGTTAGGAGACATGGGGACACAACAATGTCAATCTGCTACTCCCAGGATCAGCTTGGAAGAGTACCATGTAGGGCCCTGCACACCCACTGTGGCAGGGAGAGTCCTGAACCTCCTGCCCTGGGGGAAGGTCCTGGAATGAGGCTTGCAGGCCCCAGCCGCCCTCCAACTTAGCCTGCAACTTCCCTTCACAGAGTGATGGGAAATAACCAACACATACAAAGGAAGAGTTCTACGAGACCACAAAGCGCAGAATAAATGAGAGATATGGTGCCTTGTTTTTCCCTCCTTCTCTTCCAAAGAACACAAGGTCATGCAGAGAGGCACAGGGACAGCAAGGCCACCATCCAAGGCCCATTCCAGGGCTGAAATCCATCCATGGAAACCTCCTTCCCTGCTGGGGATGGGGTTCTGTAGCTGGGAGAGATGGTCTTTGCAGAGATGGACAATATTTCTGGAAAGCTCCAAGGTCAGCCCTGATGAGGGCAGCCATGGGAGAGGTGGCATCATGGCTCTCCCACCAAGGGCATGAACTGGAGTGAGGACTCGGGTACAGCTGGGGGAGGCCAAGGGAATGTTAGGCACATCTGGGGACTCTGTACACCTCTCCTACCCTCTGTCCAGCTTCACCTCCAAGGAGCACCAGGTGCTTGGGTGTCAGAACGCCCCTGTGATCCAGCCTCCAGTGGGTCACTCACAGCATCTACAAATCCTTCTGCACTCAGTATGTACCAGTGCTGCAGGCTTGAGCCTCACCTTCAATCCATGGGCTGAGTCGTCTCGACACTGCCCTGAACCCCCTGTACCCCTGGGCCTCTACTGGAGACTTCCCTATAATTCCCATGGGCAGGATACACAGCTCTGCCCTTCTACAAACCTCTTGCCATGCTGCAGACCAAAGGTGTGGGAGAGCAGGGGGAGACAAGTGCTGGGGGTGACCCTGAGCCTTTCCCAGGGAGAGCTCCACTTCAGGAGGAGCTCCCAGTTGTCCTGGAAGTGGACCCTCGGTCCCTCTCAGCTCTCCTCCATGCCGTGCCCAGGCGGCTCCAGAGCTCCGTCCTGGCTCGCAGCACCCAGAGCGCTCCGGCCTCGGGAGCGAGCGGTGAGAGGGAGCAAGAGGAGGTTTTGGTGGCGGCGCAGGGAGGGCTCCTCTTGGCCAGGCGCCGCAGGGCCAAGGAGCCCGGCCCCTCGCGGCAGCGCCCGGGCAGCCCAGGGAGAGGAGCTGCGGCCTTGGGGGCGCCGCGCTCGCAGCGGGCCCAGGCGCCCCCGCCCGCCCCGCCCTGCGCCCC